TTTCCTAGCTGAGGAAGAGAGAACCAGTGGATAACATCTGGATTGTTTCATCTTTTGTTCTTTCCATCCGTGAAGCAGTTTCTAATGACCGAGGGTTCCACATTTCTGTTCTTATGATTAGCCCCATGTTACTACTTACACGTGGTGGCGCTGCAGGCTAAACCACAGAAGCCTCTGTGCTGCAGGGTGAGAAGACCAAGTAGTCGTAAGATCGAATCCACACAACGGAGTGAGCACCCGTCGCTTGTCCCAGCTCCCGCCAACCTAGCAGTTTGGAAGCATGTAAAAATGCGAGTAGATCAATAGGTACCACTACGGTGAGAAGATAACGGCATTCCGTGTCTAGTTGCACTGGCCACGTGAACACAGAAACTGTCTACGGACAAATGCTGGCTCTGTGGTTTGGAGACGGGGATGAGAACCACACCCTAGAGTCGAACACGACTGGACAAAAATTGTCAAGGGGAACCTTTACCTTTATTACTTACACACGGAGCATGAGCAGTAGAGGGCAGAGAGGTGGAGCTGATCCTTGGTCTCTCCTCAGAGGATCTTTGCTGCCTCATTTTCTCCTCTTTGTCTTTCCCCTGATTTAACCTTACCACAAAATGTGATATTAGACCTCAAGGGCTTGGGGTTTGAATCCTCGTTTGCCCATGGAAACTCACTGGGGTGGTTGGTGGGGGTGGTAAACAGCTCTGCAAATACCTCATCTACCTTGAAAAGTCTATTAGGGTTTGCCAGAAGGTAGCAGTGACGTGGTGGGACACAGTGGCGCTGCAGGTTAAACCGCAGAAGCCTCTGTGCTGCAAGGTCAGAAGATCAGCAGATCGTAAGATCGAATCCACCCGACGTAGTGAGCTCCTGTGGCTTGTCCCAGTTCCTGCCAACCTAGCAGTTTGAAAGCATGCAAATGTGAGTAGATAAATAGATGCCACCTCGGTGGGAAGGTCACAGCGTTCCGTGTCTAGTTGTGCTGGCTACGTGACCACGGAAACTGTCTACAGACAAACACTGGCTTTATGGATTGGAGATGGGGATGAGCACCGCGCCCTAGAGTCGGATACGACTGGACTAAATGTCAAGGGGAACCTTTACCTTTACCTAGCAGTGACTTGATAGCACATATGCATTATACAGTGGGGTCTTGACTTGAGAACTTAATCCGTATTGGAAGGCGGTTCTCAAGTCAAAAAG